ACCTAGAGGTATGCATCTCTTTTTGGTTTCTTTTATTATCTTTTCCATAATTAGAAACCACTCTGATGATAGTTCATTTTAAATCAAGAAATATCTTTGCTTTCCCTAAAGGAGAATTGTCTTGTCATGTTTTATCTTTGTTTGTTTATCACTCTGAAGAAACCCTTAACCCAAGCAGCATAGCCTAGGTGTTGATAGCTGCTAACAATTTAAACAACATATAGAATAAAGATGCTTTAGTCAACATACAGCCTAGAATGGGAAGGAGAGGAGGGCTCTTAGCATTCATATGTTTATATTTATTCTTCTGATTCTAATTTCATAAAATGCACTTAATTTTAGAAAAAAAGCTGAGACATTTACCTTATAATCAGAGTTTATTGCTCAGATTCAAAACCATGTCTAGAAAATCAAGCTCACTTTCTGAAAACTTCATTCCCTGTGACCTGCTATGATAGAACAGCATGATCTATTTAACTCCTTCCACTGGAAAAATCCAAGATTATTTTCCAGGCTCTGTGATGTGTAAGCTTTCAGCTCTGTTGTTTCTAAATCTCAGTGCTGATAAGGACCATGGGAACTGGGCTTCCCCGGTGGCTCAGTGGTAAAAAAAATCCACCTGCCACTTCAGGAGATGTGAGTTCAATCTCTGGGCTGGGAAGGAGAAGGAAACGGCAACCCCTGGGAAATCCCATGGACAATGGTCTACAGTCTATAGGGTCACAAAAGAGTCTGACATGACTGATGGACTAAACAACAAATGACCCACCGCTGCCAAGGTTCTCTGGAATTAGAGAAGCGGGGATCCAGTCCCGCTCTCATCTTTTGTAGCCACGTGATCTTGGAGCTCATCCGAGCCTCCTTTTCCTCACTGGTAAATAAGAGGTAACAATGACACCAACCTCATAAAGTTAAACAATAATAGTAAAGTCTCAGTGAATATTACCTGTCACTATCATTCACATCTTTTAATCCTCATGACAGTTCTATAAGATAGCATCATCCCTACTTTACAAAATGGTATTGAGAAACAGCATGACTAATTCAAAAGCATCCAGAAAATAAGGGATTAAATTCATCAGACTATATAAAAACGTTTGCACATCCCTCCATGACAACTCCTTTGAAGCTATTTAATTTTAACCCAAAAATTCTTTTTGTTTGTAAATCGAAGTCTTGGACCTTAATAATTCTCATTTCTTTGTACTACTTAGCAATGGTCTGGGTCTGAAAGCAGTACCTGGGACGTGGGCCCTACCCTGATCCTCAGTTATGCTGAAACACAAGGGATGTTTTTTGTTTTGGGAGAACATTCCACTCTGGAGAACCAATTACATAGCTGTGCATCAATGTGTGTGCAAAGCTGTGCCACTTCCTTGGAGTCTTGATAATATATATTAGCCCTTGAGGTCACTAATGGGCAAAGAGATCAACTGTTAAATAAAAGTAAAGTGAATTTTATGTTTATAAGAGCTGGTGAAGGAACCATTACTTCTGGGGCCATATCCCCTGGGCTATATATTATATACGATTCAGCCTTATTTCAGAGAACAATTCATCTTTCTGGACTTTACAAGACACTGTGCTTAAAATATTTGTATTATGTTTTAATGACCACAAAAAGAAAACTGATAAAAGTGATTTGAGCACCTACTGTATGCCTTGTACTTTGTTTGGGGCTAGAGAGAGCCCATTCATAATCATTACTTGGAGCTAATAATTGAATGTTGAAGAAGACTCTTGAGAGTCCCTTGGACAGCAAGGAGATCTAACCAGTCCATCCCAAAGGAAATCAGTCCTGAATATTCATTGGAAGGACTGATGTTGAAGCTGAAACTCCAATACTTTGGCCAAAGTACTGACTCATTTGAAAAGACCCTGATTCTGGGAAAGATTGAAGGCAGGGGGAGAAGGGGGTGACAGAAGATGAGATGGGATTGGATGGCATCACCGACTCAATGGACATGAGTTTGACTAAACTCTGGGAGTTGGTGATGGACAGGGAGGGAGGCCTGGCATGCTGCAGTCCATGGGGTGGTAAGGAGTCAGACACAACTAAGCAACTGAGCTGAACTGAACTGAATAATTGAATGGAGATATCTAAGTAATACAGAATAAAATAAGAATTGCAAAAAATATACTAGCCATGTGTACCTCTGTTTTCTCTGTGACTCATAAATGCCAGGGAACTATTTACTCTGATTGGGAAGCTTAGGGAAGGCCTCATGGAGGAAGTGCTATTGGCCTTAAATTATAAGTAAGATAGTATGTGAAAGAGAGGACTTCCCTGGTAGCGCAGAGGTAAAGAATCCACCTGCCAATGCAAGAGATGCAGATTCAATCCCTGGGTCAGGAAGATTCCCCTGGAGTAGGAAATGGAAACCCACTCCAGTAAACCTGCCTGGGAAAACCCATGGACAGAGGAGCCTGGCAGGCTACTGTCCATGGGGTCACAAAGAGTCGGAAATGACTTAGTGACTGAACAACAACAACAATTTGAAGGAGAGGAAGACAACATCAAAGCTGAAGAAGCAGCCTGAGCAGAAGTCAGGGAAGTATGAATGTTCTACATGTTCAGGAGATGTCAAGGAGTGACTACAGCTAAGTGTAGATTTTATAGAGACAGCAGTGGAAGACGAAGGAGTGAAGGAGAGCTGGAGCCCATCATGAGGCATTAAATGACAGAATGGAGTTTGCACTCTATTTTCTACATAGTAGGGAGGTTTTTGCAGGGCAGAGTTACACACTCTCTTCACTATTTTTAGAAAATAATTCTAGGGATGATGCAAAGGATGGATTTAGGAAATGAAACATGGAAGAAGACATGAAGCCTTTATTAAGAAGTTGTGTAAGGGCTGGCTTAACCACTGGCTATCCAGTGGTTAAGACTTCCAATGCAGGGGATGTGGGTTCAATCCCTGGTCAGGGAACTAAGGTCCCACATGCTGCATGGTGTGGCCAAAAAAAACAAATAAATAAATTGTGGAGGAAAGAAAAGAGCATTCCCGGGGGCCAGGGACCACTCACCAGGGAAATAATTTGCCATTTCCCGTGGGGAGTGGTAACAAATGAAGGATGGGATGAAAGAACTGATGGTTTTAGACAGAGTATCTTGAGAGCAGTTAATAGGTACCAGATTCCCTGACAAGACTGGAATTTGAGTAAAATCTCATGTTTTAGATTCATGATAGGCTGTAATGCATTCATGGAATTTTCCAGCTCCTTTCAATATTACCAAGGATAATTTTCTATTTTCAAAGTCTATTTGATAAAAGTAAGCCTCTGAGAAAGCTGTATGCAGGTCAGGAAGCAACAGTTAGAACTGGACATGGAACGACAGACTGGTTTCAAAGAGGGAAAGGAGTATGTCAAGGCTGTATACTGTCACCCTGCTTATTTAACTTATATGCAGAGTACATCATGAGAAACACTGGGCTGGATTAAGCACAAGCTGGAATCAAGATTGCCAGGAGAAATATCAATAACCTCAGATATGTAGATGACACCACCCTTATGGCAGACAGTGAAGAAGAACTAAAGAGCCTCTTGATGAAAATGAAAGAAGAGGGTGAAACAGTTGGCTTAAAGCTCAGCATTCAGAAAACTAGGATCATAGGATCTGGTCCCATCACTTCATGGCAAATAAATGGGGAAACAGTGGAAGGATTTATTTTGGGGGGCTCCAAAATTACTGCAGATAGTGACTGCAGGCATGAAATTAAAAGACGCTTGCTCCTTGGAAGAAAAATTATGACCAACCTAGACAGCATATTAAAAAGCAGAGACATTACTTTGCTGACAAAGGTCCATCTAGGTAAAGTTATGGTGTTTCCAATAATCATGTATGGATGTGAGAGTTGGACTATAAAGAAAGCTGAGCGCTGAAGAATTGAACTTCGCTTTTGAACTGAGGTGTTGGAGAAGATTCTTGAAAGTTCCTTAGACTGCAAGGGAATCCAACCAGTCCATCCTAAAGGAAATCAGTCCTGAATATTCATTGGAAGGACTGGTGCTGAGGCTGAAACTCCAATACTTTGACTACCTGATGCGAACAACTGACTCATTTGAAAAGACTCTGATGCTGGGAATGATGGAGGGCGGGAGGAGAAGGGGATGACAGAGGATGAGATGGTTGGATGTCATCACAGACTCAGTGAACATGAGTTTGAGTAAGCTACAGGAGTTAGTGATGTACAGGAAGCCTGGTGTGCTGCAGTCTCTGGGGTCGCAAAGAGTCCGACATGACTGAGCTTCTGAACTGAACTGAAGCCATTCAGAAAGGGAGCTTAGAATGTGCTCAAATGGAAACCACACCCATGTCCTCTATCACTTGATCTGGGAGAGGAGGCAAAACAAATCAACCCATCTTAGGTCTTCAGTTGTGACTCTTTAGCAAAAAGACAGATCAACAAAAGAAAAACAAACATAAGTTTATTAACATGTCTATTCATGTATACCTGGCAGACCCTCAGGAAAATGAGTAACTCAGAGGTGGTTTCAGAATTCAGGGCTAAATACCACCTTAACAGGGAGAAGGAAGGAGGCATCTAAGGGGAGAGTCAATGATTTTTAGGGAGCATGAATGGGCCTTTGGAAGCATAGATGGGAAATGTGATAGTTTGTGGCAAAGTTTGTCTGGATATGGTGTCAACGTCTCATCTCCTCTCCCTTGTTGATTTTACTCATGACAATTAGTCTCTTTCTGGAAGATTTATTTTTAGGCAGATTAGGGTTGTTCAGAGAAAGTTTCTCCCTGAATTTTCTGTTTTCAAGTGCCTATAGCTCAAAACAGTATGGCCAAGTGGCATGTTTTGGGGGTGGTCTAAAGCCAGCAGCCTGGGAATGACCATACTGATGCCTACAGGAAGCCTTTATAAAAGCCATGCCTTGGAGAGCTGCTTTAAAGTAAGGTTATTCTGAGCCTTGAGTTGCATCTTCTTGAATATACATTTCACCTCTCATTTTCTGTTTATTTTTTCTTTCTATGCTTACGCTTTTAGAGGAAAAGTCCGGTAAGAAACAACAAATTCTTTCTATATCTTGGCCAAACATTGTTTATTCTGTTCATTTTCATCTCTGTATATCTAATGACTGATTGTATTTAACACTTAAACAAGATTCTGAATTTTAAAAACAAACAGGACGTGGCCTAATTATGCCCCATGAGGAAAAGAGGAAGCTGGTTGCTAAGTGATTTTCCAAGCCTGGTATTAAGGGCCACAAGGTAATTTTGTAAAGATTCACATCTTCCCCAATCACACAGGCATATGATAAAATATTTCAGTGTTAAGTTCCATTTATTGCAGCTTCTATTTGGGTTCATCAAGCTACATGTATTTTTTTGGTAATGTACAACATGATAGCATTCTGAGTGAATGCTTGTGAATCTGGCCTAGGAGAAGCAAGTTGTCTTTTTCTCTTCTTTTTTTTTTAAATTAATCAGAAAAATTATCCAGTTCTGATGTTGTCAGAGACAGATAAAGATCTTTGTAAATCACAAATCACCTCTTACATGATCCTTTTTATCACTGGGGTGATTTTCAGTGGCAGCACAAATCTGATAAAATGTATCTACATTTTTTTTTTTTTAGAGCAACAATGAAACTGACCTACTAAAAAAAAATTCATTGTTCTGGGCTCCTCTGCCTAGTTGATTGGGAACATGATCCCAGGATGCTGATACAGGTGACCTCTCCAGTGGAAAATATGAAAATATTGTATTTCCATGTTAACACACACTGAGAAGTGGTTGGTTGTCTATTGACCTCACCTCAGTGGTGAGGTGCAATGATTGCTAGACCTCCCATCCTGCCCACTGACCCAAGCCTGGCAGTCTCTATACCACGTGCAGGAAATGCACTGACAGCAATTTCATGTGATTGGAGGAAGGAAGAACAGAAGACAAAGGAAGAACAAAAGATGGAGTCAAAATATTGCAGTTTATCAAAATGTGGACTCCATGGCTTGGTTTCCAAGCATAAAATTAGTATGTATTGTAATTGATTATTATAAATGGAATGGCCCACTCTGAGTAAGTGAGAGTCAACCCTGTATCCCATGCTGTGTGACACACACATTGTTGGTGTGCTTCTGTAACCTTTCTGATATTTTGCCCATTTCACTTTTCCTCTTTGACTCTGAATCTTTTTCTGAATTATCCAAACTTGGCCACTTCAAATATTAACAAGATTAAATGGCCTGAAGTTTACCCATGGGGCTTTAAAAATTTCCTGTTCTTCCTTGGTTTTCCTCCTGTTGTTCTTAACAGCAGTTTCAACTGTGAGTACTCCATTTCCTTGCTAGCTGTGCCTTTAAGGATGAGTTTTCCTCTTGCTCCCTGCCTCATTTTTCTTTGGTAATACCCATGTTGTTGATATTTCAACCCAGTGAACCTTTAGTGATGTCTTGGCTAGTAACAGGCTCTTTGCTTCTCTTCCCATATGGAGTTTTGGAAGATTATTTCTACCAAGTCTTATTGGATCTGATAGGCACTCACTGTCATCTGACTTGTAAGAGGTATAGGAACAAATTTAAATATAGACAAACACAGCAATTGGCAGGGGTGGGGGCTTCCAATAGGTGCTTGCCAGATAGGTTATCCTAAAGCATTTAAAAGCAAATAAGAATATTGGTTAGTGACATAATAATAAACAAAATGATCATATATGCTAATTCTTTCCTAGAAAATTCACTACCATGAATCACTGAATTTGCTATGACTAGACTGCATAAAAATAATATTTGTTTAGTGCTTTGTGGCTTTTCACGCATTTTCTGGTGTTTCCCTATAGCACTAAATTTTAGCAAATGAGGATGTTGTAAAGCTTCAAAACCTGAGACTGGTTGTTTAGTGATTTTTGACAAGCTGGACAGATTGTGTTTGGTGACTTCTTTTTATAAATATCTCAAAACACTTAGGCGTATTGGCAAAGACAAGTTATCCTAGTTAGCAGAATTTAAATTAATCCTTTTGTGCAAAAAATAAACAAAACAAGGCTGGTGTAGGATAAGGATACTGTGAGGACATATACTGAAGTATTTTCTTTTAGAAGGTATATTCAAATGGCATAGTATATAAATTTTAAAAATGCAAAATATTCTAAGCAAAGATCTTAATTCTAGTGACCAAGTCATAAATTAGTAGTGTATACCCATTTTGAAAATAGCCTTAAAATACAAAGTAAATCTGATGTATAACTTGAACATCAAAATAAAAGTAGAGGGGAAAATAAAATGTTTTTCAGTACCTTCTCCAGAGTGCATCAGAAGATCGAGAGAAGTTGAGGAACTGAACAATTAATGTTTAACTAGGAACACAGGAAATTTGTTCAGAAAACAAATAGACCAACTGCAATGTCCCTGTTTGAGTAATCAGGTGAAATAATAATAACAGTATATAAAAAATTCTCTGAGAGCTTATTATGTGTGATACAAATGTCTGCAATCACAGACAAATTGGCCACCTGCAGATTCTGAACAACTGAAAAGATGTTTTGTTTGGTCATGCAGACAATCTGAGTGCCATTTAAAAATCAGAATCAACAGGCCCATTCTCTGACAACTCTAAAGATTCGGCAGGATTAGGCCCATAATTTGTGTTCAAGTGGCCCTGAGTTGCGGCCACTTCACCAAAGCTCCATAAAACTCTCATGCCCTGATCCATAGCTTTCCTGCTCCTTGCCCTGCATGCTTTTGAGTTTGCAGTTTAACACAGAGAGTGTTCAGCTTCCAGAATATATCAAGATCAGATGCTGAATGTTTCCTTCCACCCTTGAAGCAAATTCTATATGTTGGTAGAACAAAGATAGAATGCTAAAGACCTCAGAATTCTTGGGAAATGACAGGAAAAAGAGTAAAATAAACTATTGACAGGAAAGACCCTCCCCTCCTGGTTAAGAATGATTTTGCTGTTCAGTGAAACCTACAACTGCTTTATGCTCCTTAAAGGTGATAATTAGTGGAGAAAAAGCCTTTCAATTTGGCTTATGGAATCCCTTTCCTTTTGAAGGTTTCAGATAGCTTTTGATTATGGACCTTGAGGCTTTTGGGCCTGAGCTTTTCACAGCTTTTAGCTGGATCTTCTGGATTCTTGTGAATAAGCTTGTGACTACATGAATTTCAACAGCTGTTCCTTGAGGTTCCTTTTTTCATGTTACCTTTACTAGAAAAAATACAAACAGGAACTATTGGTTAAACTATATAGGTTTTTAGCTGATTGAACTTAATTTGGGTGAATTAATATAATTGAAATGATTTTAACAAATGTCTTCTATAATCTTTGTAGAGATTATTGAATTTAAGTTTCTGCCTCTGCATGGTTGCAATATACATTTTATTTTGCATTATTTCTCATAGTTGTCTTGGGGGAAATTGCATCACTTTTAAACACATCTTTGCTCTATTTTATGCTGCTTTTAAGAATGAATTGTTTGCCATGAAATTAAAGCTAAAATCATAAATGCCCACATCTCCTTCTTTAGAGAAGAACTTTAGCCTGGTCGGCAAAGAATTATAAACTCTAAATCTTTATATAAAAGAGTGCTTGAATTTCTCTCAAAAGACAGTAACAATTTGTCAGTAAAAGAATTTAAGCCCAGAAATACATACTCATCTGTCCTTTTTACTAATTTTATTTAAATTGCATCATGCATGTATTTATAAGAAAGGTGGGATCAATATGGAATAGAATCGGAAAAACGTCTAGTAAAATCAACTAGAGTAAGTATTTCTAAAATCCTAGCTTACTTACCAGTTCCTGGCTCCCTGTCTTTGGAGTCCTCCAGCAACATCAGGCTTGGTGTCCTAGAAAGAACATGAGTTTAGCAGACCGGAGCTCTGAAGTCTGTTTCCGGTTGTATCCATTTCCTAGCTCTGGACCTCAGAGCTTCACTTTGCTCTCTGTATCACAGAGGCAGTTGGACTAGAGATCCGCGGAAGGCCCCAGGTATAAATGACTATAGGCTTTTATTTCTTGTCTATGTTCTAGAGAGTAGAATCATCTTTTTCATTAAGCAACCTTCTAGATACTTCTGAGTTTGTGCCTCCTGCCCAGATTTTGAAAGTTGGCCAGTAACTGGTTCCAGGCAACCTCTGGTGAACTCATGGGCTAAGCCATATTCCTGAAAGTGAAACTGAGACACAGCTGCTTTTCCACTCGCATCACAGTCGCTCGTGTTACTAAAGACAAATCCTAAAGAGGGAGAGCAACCAGGGGTTGTTGGGGTAAGTTGATAGCAGCCATGATCAAGGTTTGAAGAGTGAAAGAAAGAAGTTGTGTGTCAGCGTCTCGTGTTTTTACAGGCATCTGGCCCACCAGAGTTTTATTGCTGCTGGACAGTTTTTGTCATTCCACCTGCATTTCTCAGGAGCTCCTCATCTGCCCAACCCCATTCTATCCATTTGAGGCTGCTTAAGTCACCAGGCCAAGAACACAGACCCTTAAAAAATTTCTTATCAGCACTCATTTCACAGAACACTAAAGAGAAAAACCAGGCAAAGAAGAGGTATCTCTTACCCTGCTCTCTGATTTTTGGAGACCCTGATTAAAGTCTTAATTATGTGGGAAATCCATCACATCTATGATGTGTACTAACACTCTATTGTGTGGAAAAACAGTTTTCTCTGTACTACCGTCTCTAAAACTCCCCTCCTCAAACACTATGAAGAAAAACTCCTTATGACAAGACATTTAAAGCTATCAGTAAAGTTCTCTTGTATGTTTCTGCTTTGTCTGTACGTACACATAACTGAAACTGGTATATACCCAATAGCAAAGCTATATCATACAGTGGATATATTCCCTTTAAAGTTCTCCAAAACCTCCTTATGGTTTAAATAAGCCACAAACACAATGGCTGCCTGCCTTCCTTTGACCTGATTACTTGGAGTGAGTGTTTAGTTAGTTGTTTATGAAGTCTTCTATTACCCAAGCCTGTTGACTGATCCATCATTCTCTGACTAGGTGTCTGTTCTCTCTTCCTTTTTGCTGATCACAGAGGCGCAGCCCGGTAAGAACCCTCAACATTTTTACCTTAAACCTGTATAGAGATAACTGTATAGAGATAACTGGCAAGGTGGCCAGGTTGTCTTATTAAATTTATGATAACCCAGTGTAAACGAGGCAGACAAATTAGGTTTAGTGGCTGTAAGTCTCTGGTCTTATATGTGTCAAGAGCATGTTTTAGGATCATCAGAGCATGTTTCCATAACAAACTAAACTAATACAATAGGTATCCCAACTCCCAGTGCTAAATGTGAAAAATGTGGTATGTGTGTGTGTGTGTGGTGTGCATGTATGCAAGCCCTGGAGATTATCCAGAAACCAGCATAGACATTTATAGCAAGGTGATAATAGAATAAGAAAACTGTAAAGAAAAGAAGGAAAGAATTTGTAAGCCACATTGTTTTCAAACCTAAATTTAATATAAGTCCCTGGACCATAACTCATATTTGTCAGTATACTGATGTACAATCATACATAATCATAACTTTTATCTTGAGAGGAAGAAACATGCTTTCAAGTCAATCTTTCTAGGTTGTCACATATATATATTTCATCACTGGAGGCAAACCAGTATTAGTTTGCACTGTCCAGAGTAAATCTTAGTCATTTTCCTCAGGTTGAAAGTGTGATAAATTTGAAGCAACAAGAAGAGTCTTTGCTATGTTTGAAATAACCTCCACCTGCCTGGTCAGTCCCTTGAGAGAGGTAATGGAACCAAAATAATGCTCTTGGAAATTAGGCCTATGCCGATTGGATCAATCAGTTACTCCGGAAGGCAAATATTTTGTGCCAGCTGACAAGCTGTGGTTCTCTGATTAAGCCACAGAGTTGATGATCAAAAATAACACATGCAGGGACTATATGGCTGATTCCAGTCCAGCAGTTGGGTAACGTCTCAGATTATGACAAGTTACTCCTTTTTTCAACAAAAGAAAAAGAGTGAATTAACTAATTCAAAATGCAGGAAATCTATTCACAGTCTACCTATAATGACAGTTCTTTAGAGGAGGAAAATGTGGTCACTTAGGGAGGAGAAGGTTTTAGAATCAATAGGCATTTTTCCTGAATGTGGTTTGTGTCATCAGTATCACCTTAACCTTGCTCTGGATTTGTCCTGCATCGACATCAAGGCCATCTTGAGAGATCTGTATGCCAGATCCAGGGGCAATGGGACTTTCTTTTCTGTTGATGAACACTTACTGCTGATGGTTCGAACATCTGTTCCTTTCTAAATTGATGTGATTTTATTCTTTCTAATTTCTAAATAACGGTTTGTGTGCATATTTCTGCCATGTCTTCCTTCCTCTTGAATGTGATTGTTCATTCATGAGGAATATTTAATAAAATATTACAGGGGCTTCTTGTCTAGTACCTCTCAACAATAAATGTCTTTCAAATGAATTGATACACTGGGAAATGATGAATACCGAAAAATACCAAGGAAACTGTGTATCTTTCTTCGTTTCATGAGTATTACTTTTTAAATAAAGGTGTAAGACAGAGATCAAAAGGTCTTCAATACAGCTTCTGGGGTCCCCCAACTCCTGAATTTCAGGTCTCTTTATACTAAATAGGTCCTATCCCCTCAATGTCAACCTCATGACTGACTACTTGAACCTAAAGCCCCCAATCTTTTCCTTCAGAACTTTTTGATAAAAATCTGACTGAGGCTCTCCAACCTGGAAAACCATTTGAAATACATTTAAACAATTGTTCTCTTATTATTTTGTCTATGGAGTCTTATTTTCCAAAAGCCAACCTGTATCAAAACTCTCATAATGACCATAGCTGATTTAAATGATCATATTTATTTAATATATGCATTAATTTAAATAAGTGTGTTAACTTACTTAAAAATACTGATTTAAAATGTTATTAAATAAAGTATTTATTAACTTAAAAATATTTTTCCTAATAACATAATAATCTCTATATGGCACATGTATGCAAACTATATTATTAGGCAAGACAAGCCAGAAAATATAGTTTGAGAGATTAGGCCAGTCACCAGAAAACATCTAGTGGATCCTTATTCAGACTGAAACTGTTTCGCTACTGCAAATGAATTCAAAATGAGACAAAATTTTGATAAAACCTTAGGAAAGAGCAAAAGAAGATTCTTACAGGTCTGTTACAGAGATGCTGTATCTTGCCCTAAGTTTTTATGCTATCATTTGAGAGAAGAAAAATCTGTGACCACCAGGTTGAGCCTTCACTAAAGTAGGAGTAGAAATAAATGTGTGTTTGGCTGTCACCCACCAAACTTCTAATTGTATGAGTTTTGAAAAGTTTCTTGTTCTTCCAGTTCCCCATCCTAAACTCTGCCCCTGTCATTCTCCTAAGGAGGCCCTGCCAAACCCATGCCCATCTTACGAGACCATGCTTCTAGTGGTCTACTTTTCTGGAAGCATCACATTCTAAGAACCTTTCATGGTGGTTTTGAATCAAAACTTTAATCAATCCTTTGTTACCAAAAATGTTTCTACTAGGGCCTGAAAAAAATCTGAAAATGACCTTCTCAGATTATTCCTGCCAGGGAAATTTGCATTCCAATAGGATCACAATGTCTTGAGCTAAAGGAATGATTCCCACTTGATAGATTGGTGCCCCCATGGCAGGCATGTAAAAGAAACTGAGGTAGAGAGTGTGAGTGGGGAAGAATGGAATTCTCTGGTTCCCTGAATAGAGCAGTCCATTCAGAGGTAATGCCTTCACATTTTCCTTGTTTTTAACATTTTCCACATGAATCTTTAAAAATTGCATTAGTCAACTAATGACTGTTTCTACAAGCAGCTTATGGACCCCATTCAATAAAAGCAGAGAATACACCACATACATATACTTTTTAAAAATTAAATATAAGTTAAACTTGGATTTACTTTCTTGTATGCTAGATTTCAAGAATTTTTTTTGCTTTAATTTACTAAATCTACCCAGGTAAAGGTTGTTTCCCCCCCCCCCCCCGCCCCGGTTTGGATTATTTATTACTTTCCCTTCCTCTCTGTAACCTTTGAGTAAAGTGAAAAATTGATTTATATGTGGGTGTCTACAATTTTTAATTTGAATGCAATTCTGAAAAAAAATTCGTTTTTCCCCATCTGCATTTCTTTAAGTTCAGTTTAATTGCAATGACAGAAATATAGATATTGTACATATATGTGGTCTTAAACCTTATAGTGTCTATTTCTAATTCTAGGGTGCAATTAAAAGGAACTTATCCAGTAAGTATATCTTAGCTACCAGAAATAGAGTACAATTTAAAAGACAAAACAGTTCCTTGGATCTTGGAGTATATATACATTTGACATATACATTCTTGAGCTTGATTTTTAAGGCTGATGAATGTCTTACTTTAACAGCAAAGAAATCCTGTAATGATAAAAGGGCTCAGTGGGTTCTGAATGATTAATATTTAAATCCTGAAAGTGAATATGTTTTTGGATAAACATTGCTATTTCCTTCCTTGGAGAAGGAAATGCCAATTCACTCCAATATTCTTGCCTGGAGAATCTCCATGGACAGAGGATCCTGGCAGGCTACAGTCCTTGGGGTCACAAAGAGTTGGACACAACTGAAGCGACTGAGCACGCATACTGTGTCGTTTGACTTTAGAAATGAATTTAATCAAGTGTGTGTTTTCTAATTGGAATAGGGAGAGAAGGAGGGCAGAAGGAACTGAAGGTAGCTGCAATGCCCATTCTTGTGTATTTGATATGAAAATGTTAGTACACCAAAGTGATGTGAGATAGGTTATAATATACATGTGGCATGATTTTCTTCTGCATACAGCACATTCTAGGAAATTTTAAATGAATGGTTCCTAGTTAAAGGTATAACATTTTCTTGGCATTTCAAGAAAAGAACAGGCAGAGAATGCTGGATTCATGCACTGTGTACATATGGCCTGGCTTGGTATTCTCATATGGTAATTGAAATGCAGAACTGATCAAGGCAACAGGCATTCAAAGAACAGTGTGCTATTCCACTAAGCTCTGCAGTGTACAGATCTTCCATTTGATGGCTTATCATGGTGATTCCTTGATAAGGTTTTATAAATGCCAAAGAAAATGCTACTACTTATGCCTAATATATGACTATTGCATTGCCAGGGGAGAGAGTTTGTTCCTGGGTTTGTCTTGCAAAGTTTTCACATGGAGTTGCTTATTCATGGGATTTAAATCTCTGTTTTCAAACATAGCTTATAAGACATAAGAGAAAAAAATGGTAAAAATATGCCTAAAAACTTTCTTTGTCCTATGCATCAGGTGAAGAAGTAGCGAGACCCAGGCGTTCCACACCAACTCCAGAGCTCATAAGGTGAGCATGAAAGCTGTTAGTTGTGTTTTATGCAAGGTATCATGCACTGATAACAATGGAACAAATCCCCTTTGAGCTAAACTCTCAGCATCTAATAACAAAGGGTCTGCCTGTGTGTGTAGGTCATCGCAGATTTAAATATGTTATCATTTCGCCCAAGTGCAGCCTGAGGGGGACCGTTAAGGAAGTACTCTGTAGTCATCTAAAGTAACATCTATCAGAATATGCAACCCTTCACTAATGAGAGAGTTAAAGGTCTATAGGAAGACATCATTTGGTATGTGGAATGCTGATCTGAAATATGATTATATTGCCCTACAAAGAGTAGCCTGTTGTTATTAGAGAAATGTAAATCAAAACTACAATGAGGTATCACCTCACATGAGACAGAACGCCATCATCAAAAAGCCTATAAACAATAAATCCTGGAGAGGGTGTGGTGAAAGAGAACCCTCTTATCCTATTGGTGGAAATGTAAATACAGCCACTATGGAAGACAGTAGGAAGATTCCTTAAAAAACTAGGAATAAAATTACCATATGATGCAGCAATCCCACTACGGGGCATATAACCTGAGAAAACCATGATTCAAAAAGACACGTGTACCCCAGTGTTCCCTGTAGCACTATTTACATCAGCCAAGACATGGGAACAGCCTAGATGTCCATCAACAGGTGAATGGATAAAAAAAAGTTGTGGTTCATACATACAATGGAATATTACTCATCCACAAAGAGAAATGAATTTGAGTCAGTTTTAGTGAGGTGGATGAACCTAGAGCCTGTTATACAGAGTGAAGTAAGTCAGAGAGAAAAAAACAAATATCATATATTAATCAGAGAAGGCAATGGCAACCCACTCCAGTACTCTTGCCTGGAAAATATCATGGACGGAGGAGCCTGGTGGGCTGCAGTCGATGGGGTTGCAAAGAGTCAGACACGACTGAGGCGACTTAGCAGCAGCAGCAGCATATATTAGTGGATATATATGGGATCTAGAAAAATGGTACTGATGAAGCTATTTGCAGGTCAGGAATAAAGATGCAGATGTAGAGAACAAACGTGGACCCAGCGAGGGAAGGAGAGGGTGAGACAAATTGAGAATGGCATTGACGTATGTATATTACCATATGTAAATATGGTAACGCAAGTTGCCGTGTAACACGAGAAGCTCCACCTTGTGCTCTGTGATAACACACAGGGGTGAGATAAGGGGATGGGTAGGAAGGAGGTTCCAGAGGGAGGTGACGTTTGTATACTTGGGACTGGTTTACACTTTTGTATGGCAGAAACCAATGAAACATTGTAAACCAATTATTTTGAAATTAAAAGTGTTTTTAAAAAGAGCAGCCTGTTTAGTTGGATACAGTTTTGTGATACATTCTACATCACACACCAGAAGAATGTTCTATTTTGTTTTCTGATTTTGGCAAAGCATTATATTTCATACTGTGCAGTCCTTGGGATAAATAAGTCTTGTGCACATAAGTGGTGTTTCCCTGCAAAGACTCCTATTTCTATCGAAAAGCTGGATCCTTTTACCTTTCCCTCCTCCTCTAACCCCTCTCCTCTCCTCTTCACCTCTTATCCCCCAATAAACAGATAAAACTCATTAGGATCAATGAGAGAAATCAGGTCTGGGGAAGAAATGGAGATGATTATGTGCTTCTTGTTAATAATCGATTTAAGCAATAATTAGTTAAAAGGATGAGCATTGAACTTGTTACCCTTCTTTTCTCCCTGATTTCTCAATACTCTTCTGTTTCTGAGACGTGCAATATTAAGGTGTTAGGAGGTTATAATTAGTCTACTGTGTAGGGTGGAGGGGGGAGGATGGAAGTTAAAAGTTGGTGGACTAAGTTTCTTATTCAAAGATGAACTTCCTGGTGGCTTGTTCCTTAATTTCCCTGTGCCTGACATTCACTGATCATACTCTGCATTAACTACAACACAAAGATGCAGTGAAGACAGATATAAATGGTTTTTGAGATCTTATGAGAAGGTGCTTTGTAGTAAATGGTTATCTTTAGTATTATCTCTTCTAGGTTTAGAGAATCTGATGCTTTCAAAGAGTTTCTCTCTGTCTTATTTCTGTTGGACCAACCCCCTGGCACCCAATTGAGAACCAGGAATCTTACCTCTTACCAATTCTTTTGTCCTCATACTTTTGACATCTTCATATATAGCTTTTTAGCCCCTCCAGAGCATGAGTGCATATTTATGTATGTACATAAGTGCACACATACATCAGCCTTACTGTGGAAGATATTTGAAAGCTTTATGTCTCTTTTGACATTAATATTTCCTTTCTCTATGTTTTGCTGTGATGTGTGTGATTTAGCAAAAAACCTTCAGAGGACACCACGGCGCTTGCTCCCCTCTTTGGTCCACCATTAGAATCAGCTTTTGATGAACAGAAGACAGAAGGTAGGAAAAACTCTGTGTCTCTATGGATTTGTTTTTCTTTTCGATAAAGTATAACTTATCTAGAGTAAATGTGTTTTGAGGCATGTTTTTAATATACCACTAGATCTTCATGTGAAAGAATAGTTCTGATCTAGGTGTGCTATCAGTATGGGAGTTTAGTTTGCAGACCTCTTAGTATTTCAGGATTTGAAATTTTACCTCCAGAGGTAGCTAAGAGCTAACATGTTCACTCTTCAAAAGAGGTCAATAAGAATTACTGAAAATCTGTACAACTCACTAGTCAGGGAGTAGGTGGTTTATGAGCCAAAGTGCCATCACTATGGACCGAGACCTTCAAATTCCTCATCATAATCCCTGTCATTGTGATCTAGCCTCTATGACCACATTTTCTCTCTTGTCCACCTCATCAGTGGAGGTGTCAATTGGACTGCTCACACAACAGACACTGTTTGCAAACTCAAGACCCAGGAATGACCTTAAATCATTTAACACGTAGAAAAAAATTGTTATGGGAAAAATATCATTTTGGCTGTTATTGTTGGATTTACCTACTAAATTTAATTCCTAGAATTAAATATTTTAACTTTTAAATATTAACCATTTTTTGATGCCTGTGAATAATGTATACCTTACTGGCATAAAAGAAACTCCTCATGAAAGGGATCTAACCTAGTCCTAAGATGTATGTAGGTCTAATGCGTGCATCTCCAGCAGCTGTGTTTGATAACATAGAATGTTTTTTATAAAAAATCATTTGATTTAAGAACACTATGATTGTGTATAATTATATGTGATTTTTCTAAAACCCGTTGGTGAAGGAGATTAAAGTGCTGAGGGCGATAAGACTTAAAAGCATAATGAGTAGACTCGGATAGTGACAAAGGGAGTCCAAAGTATAGTAAATTAAACAAGATAGATTTTATTTCTGTTTCATGTAAACGGTCTCAAAGAACACAGTGTAGGACTTGAAGGGCAACTCTGCCATCCCCAGCATGTGGCCTTCACCCCTGGGTTGCTCAAATTCTCATTATGTCACCGTCAGAAGAAAGAAGTGTGGGGGAGGACCCATGGAACTCTCTACCAACTCTTCTAAGAGCAAAACCTGGAATAGACGCACACCGCTTCCAGCCAGAGCCCATCAGCAAGAATTTAGTGCCATCTGGCCAGCTAAGCTTTAACTGTGGCAGAAATGGAGAGTGGATCCTGGGAGACAGCTAGCAGGCAGCCGCAACTGAGTGTTTTTCATTAATGTGGTTAGGAAAGTGAATAAGGAGCATCCCTGACTACTCCTTCAGTGATTTAAACGTCTGCAACTTAGAATCCATAAGGAAAGGAGGCCCACCGTTAAGGTTGCTCAGTCATCTTATTAATTCCTCTGGGATCAGTCTCACTTTTAATGATATGTATAGTAACTGAAGGTGGTTTGATTTGTTACATTCCAAACCACCTTCAGTTACTATACAAAATAGAAAACCGTTCTTAGAAATCGAAGTGGTATTCCACACTGAATCCATAGAAAAAACAAAATGCTGTGTCAGATCATTGGACAATGTATGCTTTCACGTTAAAACAAAAAACAAAACTAAGGCCACCACTGAGGTTTGCGATGAAGAGGAGACACACAATAATCCTGGCCTGATTATTCTCTAGGTGGTTTCAGTCCCTGAAGTTCTGTGAAGTTCCAGCCTTGGCACCAAGGATACTAGCTCTTCCACCTACTTTTCTTATCTACCCACTCTTACATTTTTGATTGATTCTTCTATCACTAGGTTACAAGGCCTGAGAGGAAAGTATGTTTTTTTGGAGTTGGGTATGCATGCCTGGGATCAGATCTTAGCTCTTCTATTTTTACCATGTGTTGCTGAGCAAGTTGTTTAATCACTGTCATCTTTGGTTTCCTCAATATCAACCACGTGGTGGTATGGTGAGGACTGAAAAATCATAATAGCTATTGGCCTTATGATAGGTATTTTGTGTACATTATATTTATATACATTACCTCCTTTAATACTTTAGTAACTCTTAGAGATGGTTCTTACTATCTCTGCACTGAAGGAAGGGAAGCTCAGAGGTTACATGAATTGCCTAAGGTCCTAGTTGTTCAGTTCAGTTCAGTCGCTCAGTTGTGTCTGACTCTTTGTGACCCCATGGAGGCTGGATCAAATCCACATCCAACCAATTCCCAGCCTGTGTTTTACAACATAATGAATCACAAGCAGTACTTACAGAGACCCTGGCACATGAGAGGTGATGAGAAGAACTGGTACATTACATTGTTACCACAGCAACAAAAAAAGTCAGAAGAAAGAAACAAAAAATAGAAGAAATGTTAGATTCATTGTCCTTAGGCCTAATACCAGTTGCCCAGGTTTACTTTAGATGTCTACATGCATGCATGCTCAGTCGCGTCCCACTCTTTGCAACTCTATGGACTGTAGCCTGTAAGGTTCCTCTGTCCAAGGGATTCTCCAGGCAAGAACACTGAAGTGGGTTGCCAGTTCCTCCTCCCCTGATCTTCCCAAGCCAGGGATCGAACCCACATCTCTTGTATCTCCTGCATTGGCAGGCAGGTTTTTTACCACTGAGCCAACAGGGAAGCCCTTAAAAAAAGCACTTGTTTATTTTTCTGGTTCTTTTAACATGTTCACCATTTCTAAATAATTTAATTTCTCTTTATAATGTTGTAAAAGGCTTGTTTAAAGATCCCATAAGATCCTTGAAAGGTGAGAAGCACTGTACAGAATTCAGACATTTTCATTCTTGAAGCATATTCTTGGCAAACTTTAAATAAATCAACTTAAAACAAATGTCCATGGGAATAATGCCTATATTTTCAAGTGGGTGCAAGAAATGTATTGACATTTAGAATGTCCTTAAGTGACCCACCAGGAAAAGAATGCAGACACTCTGTTTTGCAAGTTTTTATTTAGCTATATGTCCGCACACAGATAATCCCTCTGCACACGAGCTCACACACACACACAAACATGCACACCCTGCTGTTTTTTCCATTCTCTGATTGAAGAGAATCAGGAACAACACATCTCTAAATTAATTTACTAGGACTGAGGCAAGGCAGAAATAATTTTGTGAAGCTCCCCTTTAAATTGAAATTGTAAGTTCTAAAATCAGGATGTTTCTTTTTTCAACTCACCCGGGGAAATGTTCTTTTTATGTTTCCAGTTCTTTTAGATCAGCCTGAGATATGGGGTTCAGGCCAACCAATTAATCCAAGCATGGAGTCGCCAAAGTTAACAAGGCCTTTTCCCACTGGAAGTAAGTTATGTGTCTGCTCTGTCTGGAAAAATAAGTGACTCATTTTACTGTCTGTCTGCATAGTGAAATTAGGCAATGCTTAGGAAGTCTACATAAGCAACATTTGGACTGTTTAATATTAAGAAGAGATGTTGTTCTAATAAGCATTAGAAGTTAAGGGGCCTAGGACAGTCGGTTGAGACAAGAATAATACAATAAATAAAGTAAAATAAGTAACTTTGAACCACAGCTGCTTCTGTGTGACATCTCACTTATTCATTCATTAATTCAATAGGCTTATATAGGCATGACAAGCAAGTGGACTAAAGACTCTGCTATGTTCTAAGCATGGGCTAGCACACAGCACAGAGCTAACCAAGTCAGATAAGGTCTCTGCTTGTCCTAGAGGACAACTGAGGCTTCAAAGGATAGAGGGGACACATTGAGGGGAAAGAGTTTAACTGGAGGACAAGAAGAATGATGCCATATGGTAGAAAGAAGCTGAGACAGGAGATCAGGGCACATTTATCTCAAAGCAGAGCCATCAGCCTTGCTTGTTCCAGAATGCTCCTAACCCCTACTCCAGGTAACTGGGGAAAGAAGTCCGAAGAAAAAGGAAACTCATCAAATTTACCAAGTATAGCAGTGAGAGGAAAACATACATTTAAAGAATGAAGGGGGAAAAAAAGATTTACCTGTTGAAATTCTTAACTTTGCCCACAAAGTGACAAGCCAGTTCAAAAGAATGAGTCTCTGGGTTGGGCTGGAAGACAGTAGTTTTTCTAGCTCAGGGATTTTTTTCAGCTATAATTTCCACCAAAGGAATCTGTTCATTCTTCCTTGACCTGAATCATTTTGCTATAGATTTCAAAAATATACCCAAATTCAAGACATTACTTTGAGAAATCTTTCCAGACTCAATCCAAGCTATAATATCCCGACTCTTATCAAAAGCCCCTCACCGGGCTGCTCTCATTTCCTTGACCACGCTCTAGGTTGCAGTTGCCTGTGACCACAGTCTTCCTTCATTCAGCTGTAAATTCCTAGAGGGCAGAGGCTCATTGTATTCAACCCCATGTCCTTCATCCCTAGTACAGGTCACAGGACTTTGGTGGCTTTTGAGGCTTGTAAAACAAAGGAATGAATGAATGAAATGATATTATTGTTGCTATTATCTGACTTTCTTTTGACAAATTCCTATCATAAAATGGAAGAAATCTGAATGAGTCCTGCTTCAATCACTAAGCTTTGAACTTAAAAAAAAATATGGACTGCTAATATTTTCCAATAGCAGAATATGAATGAAAGCCCAAATCCTGGTTATCTGGGAAATATTACATAACTTAGGGAGAAAGTGATCAGTAATGAATGGCTTCTCATCTCTTGGCAGCTCCTCCACCACTGCCTCCAAAAAATGTACCAGCCACCCCACCCCGAACAGGCTCCCCCTTAACAGTTGGACCAGGTAAGCTTTATTTTTTCTGTACTACGATGGTGTGGCAATCAGCAGTGGCCCTGGACCTCAACATGCCTTTGATGTGTTGAAATCTATAGGCTAAACTAAACATGAAAATGATTGCATTTAGTTTTACTTCCACTACAGTTTACTATTTACACTTCTTTAAGTATCACTCCCAGGTTTCACAAAAAGTTTCACTTTCTCAACTCATATTTCTCTCTGTATAATTTTGTTGAACAAAGGTCATGTTTACTTGTGAGATAAGAGAAATAAAAACTCAATATTAAAAGCCATTGTTTAATTGACATCTCACTTCATTGGACCTCATTTTAAATGACTGAAGAATTAAAAGTCTCAAGGCATAATTCGTATTTTTCTAAGTGCTGATAAGTTAATTAGAATTAATATTGTGTAATCCACAATAATAATAAAATGGGTCCTGGAATATGCAGTATACAGGTAAGCTTGGGTAGTGCAGGATTTTTCCCAGCAGTCATTATTTATTATCCCATGGCAAAGCAATGTGTAAGGATGATGAAATATGACAAGGAACTGCAGCATGCCTTTAGACAGATGACTTCTAAGGCATATTTTTACCAGCTATTAAAATCAATACTATGGATTCCTACAATTTATAATGTACCTCTTCTTACTGGACTAGCAATTCAGAAGCAGTAATAGTTATTTTATGTGTCTGGGTCCTTAGAATGTAGTTCTTCATCACCTTTGGGATTCTATTGCAGCTTCACCCATAGCTATTTATGCAATCTGGTGAGTTTGATAACTACAGAGGGGGTATTTATCAACAAGAGCAAATGCAAGACATAGTAACTGATGGAATTTATATTGACTCAAACCCAACAGGAAGTCATCTGGTGTGTCAAAGGTAAAGGTGTTTGCAAGTTCAAACCATTTTGGCTCCTGTAGTCTCATGAATATGTTAGAGATAAGTAAGTCTACCAGCAGTGAAATTATAAACACTGTGGCCCAGCAAACTGCTGTCCCATTTATTTGTAGCCTTGAAACCTTGAAGGGTAACTTTTTTCAACTGTGAAAATATATGAATACTAAGCCTACTCTTACAGCTAAAAGGTTATTTAAAGGTAAAATGGCTCATGCCTTGCAATTATTTAGGTAACAATTTCTAATTTGAATAATCCTGGTTTAAAAATCCTCACATTTCAGTTGTTATCAACTACTTCCTGCAAAGCTATAGAAGATAGTTTTAATTTTTCTTTTATTATTGGTAAAAATTAAAAAGAATAGCTAATACTAATATTTAAGCAAAACAGGCTTTTTATTTCATGAATTCAGATATATATATCAGTTATGCCTATGGTATTAACAGGTTAGACTTGATGAGAAAAGAAATTATGAAGATTTTTTATAATTTTCTTCCCTATTAAATGGGTTTATATGTAACAATTCTTCTCAATATCCTATGTGCATGGTGCGTGGGGTGTGTATGTGTATATTTGTAAATATTCATGTGGGGATATCTCTTTAAATAATCTTTGTGCTGTGTTTCTGGTGTGTTCAAGGTAGAAGATATACAACTACTTATGATGTGATAATTTTTTTAACTAACATATATTATCATTGGTTTCACCAGTTTCATTTAACATGCTAGGGTAGACAATCTTCATCAAATATGAGGGTGATTTTCAGCTATCATTTCTTTTTCTGTTCTGTCCTATGTATTTCAGTAGGCCAGACTTTCCAAAGGGGCCTCCCTTTTGAAATTTGCAGTTCCAGAGCCTGTACACTTCTGAGAATGCCTTCTCAGAATGACCGCACTTTGCTCTCTCCTGAGCAGCCCTGGAGGGCAGTTGCATGCTTATACTTCTGGTGATGGTAGATGTAGCCAAGTCAGATCACCCCACACAAGGGTAAATAACAGCAGAAAAGGTGATGTTCACAATACAGAGGCAGGGAACTCTCTCCTCCCCTGCAACCACAATCAAGATATTTTTCCATCATGAAATATTCCCACCTTGGCACCTCACAAGATAACCTATGTATCAGGCTTTGCTTCACCCCTCCCACTTCCTATATAAGTAATTTTAACAAAGTCAATTAAATTTTAAAATCAACTACTTTAACCACAGGAAATGACCAATCAGCCACAGAGGTCAAAATTGAAAAGCTACCATCCATCAATGATTTGGACAGCATTTTTGGCCCCGTGTTATCCCCCAAGTCTGTTGCTGTTAACGCTGAAGACAAGTGGGTCCATTTTTCTGACACATCCCCGGAACGTGTTACTCCAGAGTTGACTCCAAGGGAAAAGGTGGTGTCCCCACCAGCTGCCTCAGACAACCCAGCTGACTCCCCACCTCCGGGCCCCCCGGGTCCTCCTGGCCCCTCAGGACCTCCGGGTCCTCCTCGCAATGTACCGTCGCCGCTCAATTTAGAAGAAGTCCAGAAGAAAGCTGAGCAGAACGTCATTAAAGACGATTACTTAGAAACAATCTCGTCTCCTAAAGATTTTGGGTTGGGACAGAGAGCAACTCCGCCTCCCCCACCACCACCCACCTACAGGACTGTGGTTTCGTCCCCCGGACCCGGCTCGGGCAGTGGTCCGGGGACCACCAGTGGTACGTCTCCCTGTCTGAGTGTGCGTCGTGTGCCCGGAATGGCCGTGGCTGCTGCAGTGTGAGCAACACCCTCCTCCTGCCTGGCAGTTGGCTTTAGATAGCGCTTCAGCCATCCCTCCTTCGCTGTGGGTGTGCTGTGCCCTGTGGCATGTCCTAGTCCATCCAGTGCTCGCGGTCGTAGTGCAAGTCTGTGGATGTGTCCTGCCCTGCACTCCTGACCCTTAGGAGTGCCCTTCCACCCTGCAGATAAGATCTCTATTTTTTAAAGAAAACTGTGATCTCATTTTTAGAATTCAGGAAAGTTCTAGAAAGACAGGTTTCACAGAAAATGTGCTTCAAGTTAAATGTCTGATTTCCTCATCAGATGTCTCCACAGGGGACCTAGTTTGTTTTATGTTGTTTTTTTTTCTTTAATTCTTCCACTTTATTGAGATATAACTGACAAAATTCTAAGATATTTACAGTGTACAATGTGATAATTTGATACACACATACATTGCGAAATATTTGTCCCACCAAGTTAATACATCCATCAGCTCACATACTTACCTTTTTCTTTCTTTCTTTTTTTTTTTTTGATGAGAACATTTAAGCTCTACTTTCTTGGCAAATTTCAATCATACAATACAGTGTTATCAATTCTAATCACCGTGTTATATAGATCTGTATTTTTTCCAAAAGCCCTGGGTTTTGTATGTCTATATATTTTCTATTTCCTTTTTTTTTAATTGGGGAAAACTATGTTAACTTCTCAACTATTTCAGAGAAAAAGAAGTAGGATTTGAAAAGGAGATTTTAGAGGACAGCAAAAAAGAGGCTGCCTTATTTCATCTCCAGCCTAATCAGGCTGCCACTGAAACAGACTGCTCTCTGATGTCATCATTTGACAGGCTAGTCAGCCTATAAGGTTGGTTCTAAGTGTGGTGACAGGTGATGGAGCAGTTTGTCACAAATGTAGCTTTTGGGACTCAACATGCAAATATTGACATGGAATCTGATGTTTTTGGTTTTCCTGTTTGGTGTTTTTTCTTTTTCTTTTTTTTTTTTTGTTTCTCTTGTTTCCTGCTTCAAGCTTCATTTTGTATTCTCTAATGATGAAAGGATGGGAACTGCCATGCATACCCAGGAAAGATCAAGATATTCCTAATGCATTCTTCTGTATCACTCATTCCATTTGTGCTATGTTTGTCTACCAAGATCCTCTGGTGCCTTCTCTCTTGTTCCTGTCCTCTTTGTTAGGTACCTTCTCAGGGGTGTCAAGGGCTATTTGTTTTTTATTTGCTTTTAAAGAGGTGACCAAGTTTAAATTATTCAAATCTATTAAGAGACAGCAAGGAAATATGTTTGTCTCTAATAGTCATCATCGCTTCTGCTTTCAAGGGCACGTCTTTCAGTGTTTGCTCTGCATTTGAAATTGCTCTGAGCTTTAAAGTGAGAACATCGAAGCTGATCAAGGAGAGGACTGAAGAATCTTCTGTACTGTACACAAAATCAGTGTTTGGTATCACAGGTGTTCCCCTCCTTCACCAGAAAGGGAAAACAGTTCAATACTAAAATTTAAGTTTGAAAAACTGTGCTAAAACAAAATCAGCAGGTTTGTTTACCATAGGGTCCTAGAGAACCTTTATTTTGCCAATAAGAGCAGCAGCTATAGTTTCTTTTCCTGGCTTCATGCTAAGAACTTTAAGCACATCATTTCATTTTTAGAACAACCTCATGAGGTAAATACTCTTATTTCCCCCATTTTACAGATATGAAAACTGAGGCTCATGGATGTTTAATAATTTGCCTAAATTTACACTGCTAGAGGTGATAGACTTGGTATTCATTCTCAGGTCTATCTGACCCCAGGCCTGTGTTCTTAACCACTGTGCCCTCCAGGAGCCCTTGCAAGGTTTAGTGACAAAATATCACAAACTTATCTGACCCTGACATGCACCTGTATTACACAGTGTCATCAAGATCACCAAAAGTCTTTTCTCCAAACCTACTGCTCTGTGCTTCTTTCTGTATTTCTGGGGGGTTGGAGCCCCACCTCTATCCTCTATTTCTTTTTTAGATCTTTTGGGGTGATGTAAGGGTCCTTACCTAACTATAAAGATAATAAAGGGCCTCTAAGTAAAGCCTCCAGTTCAGACCTCAGCCCAAAAGAAGCTGGTTGTCCTCTGTCAAAGAGAGACATGTTTCCACTGTCTTGAATGGGACTCTTTCCTGGGCCAGGCTCTGAGGCTTCTGAAAGTGCTTTTCAAGGAATAATACCTTCTCTCCAGTGGCCTGGTCACTATTCGCTACCCAAAGTTAACACCTTTAGTTGGGGGAGAGGAGGACAGGACAAGTTTGTTACTCACCAGGCTCCTCAAGCACCTTCTACAAAGTTCTGGGATATACTTGATTAATTGAATTGATCATTGATCTAATGAATAAAGAGAGAAGCTCTAGCTTTCTTTCTGTAATCCTTGGCAGTTTTGTTGTCATTTTAATGTTTAACTTCCATATTCTTACTTAAAATTACTTGAAAATGTTACCAGTAAAGACTAATGGTTCTTAATAATTGAGCTGGAAAACACTATACTTTGCTAATATTAAAGAATTGAATTTCTAAGTGGAGGACCAAACTGGGCCAGTGAAACTCATGAATAAATAAAACTGTGCACTGTTATCTCCTTAATTAAGTCCCAGTTTATTTGCTCGTTAATCTTTTATTGATGAAATGCACAGAGGTTGGCAGAAATATAAACTTAGGATTGAAACAATAGGATATGGTCTCATGTTTTAAAGATTAGTAATGCTTTTCATTACCTGCTTTTTATAACAGCTTGATGGAAATAACTTTTCCTGTATATCTCAAACTGTGTATCTACAAAAAAAATTTCATTCACAGCAAGATGACCGTGACTGACCAAGTTTAGACAGTACTTGTGGATCAGAATAGTTACCTGCTGTTGAAAAAGTTGCAAGTTAAGAATTTGCTTCAAGAACTTTAATTTCTTTATGGCAAAGATTTAAAATACATAGTTTGGCCAGAACATTGCTTTACTGGAATGCAGACACTGATTCTTGGCAAAGACTATCTCTTCTCCTGTATGGGCTGTGTGCCAAGGGGATGGAATGGAGAAAGTGTTTCCTTGGCCTGTAGCAATTTTGGAGACCAGGGAAAGAGAAGTGTTAGTAAAGATAGAATGTTCAACATTTCCCAACTGGGGAAACTAAACCAATATTAAAAGATGCTAAACACAAACAGACAAACCCTACATATCCGTAAACAAATGAGTCTGAACTACCTGGGGTTGAATCAAACAAATACATTTCCTAATATAAGTTTTTTTAGAACAGCAATGTCCAATATGGAAGCCTTTAGGCATATGTGGCTATTTTAATCTTAATGGCAATTAATTAACATTAAAAATCAGTTATTCAGATGCAGGAGCTACAATTCAGTACTCAGTGGGCACATGTGACTAATGACTGTCTTATTGGACAGCACTTATTCCAGAACATTTTCATCATTGCAGAATACTCCTTTGAACCATACTATTTTAGGGCTTTTAATGTGCCAGTTACCTTAAACATAGTGTGAAAACTTTCCCACATATGTTTAATACTTTCTTCAAAGAAATGGTATAATTGTGTTCTAAGAAACACAAATTGGGAAAGAATATTTCTTTACATATTTCAAAGTACATATATTTTCATTCATTTGATTCTCCCCCATAACATTGTGATATAGTGGCCTCATTTTACAGATAAGGAAATGGAAGCTCAAAGACAGGACTTGGCCACAGCTGCAAAGCAATAAATAACAAAGTCAAGATCTGTCTGACCTCAGATTTGTTGGATTCCAATAATCACTTCCCCTCAGCTTCACCCCCCACCTCACAACACACACACACCCACACACACAAACAAAAAGACATGAAAGTTGGAGCCGTTGTTTTACAGTCCTCAAGAGTTACCAAAGAAACTATGATGGGATTTCAGGTTGAGAGCAGCAGATGGATTGAGACCATGTCAGTGGTTGCCAACTTTTTGAATTCACAAATTCAAATAATGTACATGTGATTTTTAAAGTTAAACAATGTTGTCCAATTAGTTTCTAACTTTGTCTTGGGAATAAACACTGCTTGAAGGAGAAATGAAAGTAGAATTGAAGATCGAAGAATACAGGTGGAGATGTGCGAGTAACCCTCTTTACTCTTTCAATACAAAACAATTGTATAATCTCACAACATCATGTGAGGCCTTAGTTCAATTGTGAAATACTCCTTAGGTCCAAACTGCCCTCTGCTGTCAAGCAGGGTTTTGCTTTTTAAAACTTTCTTGGTGTTGTCTAACTGCATAACAAATCAATGAGATCAATTCAGTAAAGAAAAAGTAAGTTAAACAGGGTACTCCAAAAGGAAAACACAGCCAGTTAACTAGCCACTTTTTTCTTCAGTTTCAGTTATATCTGTATCAAAAGCACAAATTTTACCATCATCAACTGCTTTCCATTTGTGTAGTATTTTATGGTTTGGTAATACTTAAATAAGCATTTTCCATTTCGATTGTTGCAACTGCCTTGTAAGGTAGAAACATGTCCTATATTTTAAAACATGAAGCTGAGGTTTAGAGAAGTCAAGATCATATAGTTAATAGGAGGTGGGTAGAACCAGAGCTCAGGTTATCTGACTTTTCTTCAAATTCTTCAGTATTTCGTATTGCCTCCATGGTAACTCATTACCACTTTTCCAAGAATTACTGAAACTGGATTTTAAAATTTCCCTTCTGGAACTTGTAGGAAAAGGATAAGCAGCTGACCTTTCCTGGGATTGACTCAGAAGACCGTTTCTTGGAAATAGAACCCCGGATAGACGTTTTGACCCCAACCCCCATGACATGGTTTTCCAGCGAAATAGAACCCCCAAAACAGTTCCATAAAACTTTCAGACAAAAACTTTGCTGTGTAAACATTTATTTCCCATCTCTTTGCTGTCACTTCTGAAAACATCATGGGTGTAAAGAAAACTTTGTAGTGGGACCTGTTGAAATATCCCCTATTCTTTTATTCAAGAGAAGATCAGCAAAAGACTAAGGATATTTATATTGAGAGAAAAGTGCAGTCAGCCCATGCAAAAGGAAGACCAGGCTTTGTGCCAAACGTGGGGCTAAGGTCCACCTATAGCTGCAAGATACTGCGTTTAAAAACTCAGACTTTGTAGTTAAATAGGCCATTTGAACTATATGACATCGATCAAGTTATTGAATATCTCTGAGCCCTACTTTCCACTGAGATAGTAGAAGTACTTTCCTCCAAAGCTTATTGTGGGGATAAAATAAGATAATGCATGTAAAATGTGTAGCATAGATACTGGCCCAACAAAATAAAAAGTGAGAATACAGTTAAAAGTTGGTAGTAGTGAATAGGAAATATTGGTAGGGGTGGGTGGTAGCTTGTATGGTTTCACACTAATGTAATTACACTTACAATAAACCACACAGATAAACACAACAAACTCAAGATTTCAAACTGCTTTAAACAGAGGAACAAGGCTTTCACCCCCAAGGACTCTCCTAAGTTGGAAGCAGATCCCGAGATGATGAGTTTTGATGGCTAAAGTTTCTTGAACACCTGAAAACTCAAAGATGCAAATTTCAAAGTTCCTTGAAAATCTGAAAATCTGGAGAGGGAGGTGCTGGTCTAGGATTCTCCAGAGAGCAGAGTTTTGTGGTGTGTTGGAGGGGAGGTGGGGTGGGGGGAGGGGGAGACATTTTCTTTGGGCAGAATTTCTTGGAATTTTCTTGGAGTAATTTGATACCTGTGCTTCTAACCAAAGTGAAAAAGCCTCAGGAGTAGTTGGAACTTCTCTGAGAAGTGTTGGTGATTAACTGACAAGAACCATGTGGAATATTGATTTGACTTAAGATTGTTAGCCAAGTAGTTTGCCCGTATGTCCCGGACACATGCCTGAAGCCTGGCAAAGCCCTGAGTCTAGAGACCCCTCTGCATGCATGCCGACCCCTGTGTGTCCTCTGTGTTTCACGTGCTTGTCGCTGACAGCCAGAAAAGTAAATCCAAGAGACTCTTTTAAAAATCATCACAGAAATCATCGCAGGCAACCTCCACACAGACAGGTTCTCAGGCAGCCCCTCTAAAAACTAAAATCCTCTAAATCCAATGTGTTTCTGTTAAGATTCCAAACACAAAGTGTGCTGACAATAGCTAATGTACTTTCTTATATTTTGTTCTTTGCTTACCATCAAGGGTTTGCTTACATTTATGAAGTTACTACTCATATCTTAAAGCACAGTAAGAAGGATAATTCTCTTCTACATGTTTTATAGATATATAAAAATATTTCTATACATAACACACATATATATACACACACACCTATGGACTTTCCAGGTGGCACTTAGTGGTAAAGAACCCGCCTGCCAGTGCAGGAGACCAAAGAGACAATCCCTGGGTCAGAAAGATCCCCTGGAGGAGGGCATGGCAACCCACTCCAGTATTCTTGCCTGGAGAATCCCATGGACAGAGGAGCCTGGTGGGCTACAGTCCATAGGGTCACAAAAATTCGAACACAACTGAAGCGACTTAGCACACATATATACATATAATGTGAAAAATCTTCTTTCTTCAAGTTCTAACCTCCATTTTCATCTTGAACATAAATTCTGAATATGCAAAGATCAAGAAAATTTATCATAAGTTTCATGTGTATCATGATCAGAATGAAAGCTACCCACTCACCCAGCCTAAAGAGTATTAAGTATATATTTTCTGTCACAGGGAGTTATAAAAGGATTTACCTTTCACTGGGTGTCACATGACAACAAAAGGCAATGAGCTTCAGCTTCAGCCATCAACCATAGTTCAACTGAATGATTTTTTTTCTTTATTGAAAAAAAAGAAACCCAAACCCCATGTGCTACAGTGTTGACTGTATTAACTGCTGAGGTGAAGAAAGTGTTGGTGATTAGCACTGTACTGTGGGAATGAAAAGGTGGGATCAAATGATAACAGCACTTTGGCCAGCTGTGTCTCCAGCCTTTTTTAACACCAGCTTGTTTTGCAGGTGCGTCATCCCCTGCTCGGCCAGCCACCCCCTTGGTTCCTTGCAGCAGCACAACCCCACCTCCACCTCCTCCCCGGCCTCCGTCTCGGCCAAAGCTACCTCCAGGGAAGCCTGGAGTCGGAGATGTGGTATGTTCCCTTCTGCCCTGTCCCTCTCAGAAGCATACGGTGGGAATGACAAGCGGAGTCCAAATGCCTGAACATGGCTCATCTCAACTCCAGATCTAAGCCTTACAGCGCCTGCACCAATGGCCCTGATGGATGAAATCTGAAAGTCACTGCAATCAGAGTGTATATTTCAGTTGCCCTCAAATCTCCACCATCATTCAAGCCACGGCCTAAAATAGTAGGAACAGGATCATGGGGTCTTCACTTCTTCCCCAGTGGGCTTGATGAAAATTAAGATAATAATACTCAATTGTCCTAAATCCTTTAGAATGGGAGGTGTTTCCTTTCACCATATTTTTCTGATTTTGGAAGACTCCTAGAGAAGATAAATCCTGGTTTCTGACCCCAGACCACAGAGAAGTTATTGGTGGTGTACACACTGGGTGAATATAAAGGAGAGTGGTGGCTCAATGCATTTTTTTTTTTGGAAGTTTTTTAAAAGTTTTGCATCATGCTTTAAGGCGAGGGGTGGAAAACATTTCGTGTGAACAATTAAGAGACTCTGGCAGAGGTAAATTTCTTTGGAATTCACACACGGGAGTCACAGGGTAATAATGCTGTCCCTGACATCTGGTTTAGCCAGCACACTACAGTATTTTGTATTCAGGTATATTTCAGTAGGTATAAGCTCTCACTTTATGTTACTTTCTTAGTCCCTAAGGACATGTGAGTCCACCATCCTGAAACATCACTGACCACATCCCAGATCCTGGCTTCTCTTAATGTGATATATCTGTTGAGTGTAGCCCATTACAGTTTGTTTCCTCTGGCTCCATCCACAAGCTCTTATGTAGATATAACCAATTTCAATGAAAAAATGGTGCCACCTGGCCTCTTTGAAGAGCCTGAGTTGTCATATCTGGAGCTGGGAGATGTTAAAAATATGAAAGGAAAACCTGTGAATCTAACTTTCCATTTCTTTTCTTCTCCCTGCAGCCCCGACCTTTCAGCCCTCCCATCCATTCTTCCAGCCCTCCTCCGATAGCACCCCTAGCCCGGGCTGAAAGCACTTCTTCAATATCATCTACCAATTCCTTGAGTGCGGCCACCACTCCCACAGTTGGTAAAAATTATCTCCTCTCTTTTAATCCATTTGTGGTTTTGACTGGCTATTTTTTTATGATCTGAAAACCCTAACACCCTATGTTTCTGGTCAAAATTGTTTTGCTGTGTGTTTTGCTACTATCATCTGACTCTTCTTTTAAAAGCACCTTCTCAGCAAAAAAGGCAAATGCTTTAACTAAGCAAATAAGCAAGTAAAAGAATGTGGAGTTCTCTTATTCTGTCTCCATACAGATGTATTCATAAAAGTAAAGAAGAAATCATCAAATAAGATCTTGTAATTTAGATATTATTTAGATATCTTTGAGAGGGGAAATGTCTATTTAAATTCCAACCACGTAACCCATCAGAAATAACAAAATTTAGAACTTTTCTTTTCTTGAAGCTTTCATTTCTTCATCACCTTGGTTCTCCTTATGCTGACAGATGGTATAAACGTGGGCATTGTGGGACTTGAGAAAATGTTTTGACATTTTTTCTAGTGCTTTTCAGTGATGTGTGGTCAATTATCCCCAAGAAATAAGTCATTGCTGGCATTTTCAGTAAATGCCTTTGTGCCTCTTTCCTTATGGTGTGATGAAAGTGAAGAGTTGAGAATGACTGCTCAGCTGGATGGTTTTCCCAGGTTTAAATGCCTCATTTTGCCTGGAGCATCTTCCCTCTTCCCAAGGCTGGTCTCTCTCTACCCACTTTTTACCCACCTTCCTCAGCTCCTGCTGCCTCTCTCATATTTGCATGGTGTCTCTGACCTGGACTTTTCCATCCCATTTTTGCCCCTTGTCTTCCTTTATTGTCTGAATGCCCTCCAAGTCTCCCACATTAAGTCTCCCATATTATAAACCAGCTGGTCCATGCTGCATTGCTTGGGAAATCATTAACTAACGCTGAATAAATTCCTGCTGCTACTTGCCGAAGAAGAGCATGCTACAGAGTTGTCCATGTGAGAAATACTTTGATCAAAGCCTGAAGCTCTTCTGGAGAAGAAATCGCTCTTTTCCCAGGGAAATAAGTTAAGATGTGCCTCTTAGGCCCCCAAAGAGAATTTCAACCTTATCACCTGCTTCATATTTCTAATCAGACCATCCCCAAAGAATTCTTCAAATTTGGTGAAAATACAGCCTGCTATCCAATTTTGTATGATTCATTAACAGACATATTTAACATGATTTGTATAGCCAGGTCTATTCTTTACCTGCATCATCAGCTGGGGGTAATTCAGGGCTTCCTATTTTTAGATGCCTATTAGCTAGTTTCTTTCTGTGTTTTGTTGTTGTTTTGTTTTTTCTGTAACTTCCAACCTTACTTTTGAGCTCTCTTTAATGCTCTTGATCACTACAGCCGTTTCCCTCACTCCTGCTCTGTTTTCCTGTTGTTTTTGCCTCAATGTCATTGTTCCTCAAGGTCATGGTTGTTCAGAGAGAAAAGTAATGATAATAAACTGTCATTCAGAAAGCAGACCTTAAGTGACCTCAGTTGACTGTCTAACCTTTTCCTTCAACTCTCTGAGAGAAAATGGCACAGACAGAGCATTTGACCTGTGGCCATGTTTTGTACCATGTGTTTTTATGCTCTCTGCTGCAGAAACCTTAAAACCTGGCCAGTGACTGTGATCCTCAACACAACTAGTATACATTCTTTCAAGATGAAGCATACAGGGGCTAAAAACAGAAAGAAAGAAAAAAAAAAAAAAAAGACCACGTAAGAGGCTAGTCACATTGCTTCATTGCTGAGAAGCATTCTGATTTAATCTCTTCAGCTCTGTTATTTATATTTGGTTTTCATCTTCCTCGCTGTCTTGTTCTTTATTTCCTGTGGCTGTGGGTCACCTGATAGACACTTCTCTCTGAAGTAAATGTGTTGTCAGTGACCACCCAGCAGCACCGTGTATAATGTTGTTTCTCTCTCTTTGAAGAGGTTGTACTTTGGCTGTTCGGCACCAAGGGGCTGACTGTTCATGACTTGACTTGGTACGTCAACTTAAGGAAGTCAGATGGCTTGGGGGAGATGGAAATTTCAGCCACAAATTCTTGACTTCAGTGGCTCAACATTTCCCTCCGTCCACCATGATACTTTTATTTATACTTATTTATTTGTACTTGCTTGGTACAAAGTTTAATATAATTCAAGGACTAAATTTTTAAAGGCAAATCTGATCTTCCTGCAATTCATCTAAGAATATGCCCCTAGCAAGACATTGGACATAAAATCTTTTTCATGAGACCTATGATTATAAATTAGTATAACTGATGCCACACCTGAAAATAGGACTTTCTATTTTCTATTCACTTTCTATTTTGAATGTGAATAAGTCACATTCAAATAATGAAGTGTTCCTTTGTAATTCTGCTTCACTGAATTTAGGATACCTTCAGTTAGAAGCTGCGCTATTATTTTATATATGACTGAGAAAGGAAGGGGAAGCTGCCAAATGAATTAAGGTGCAACACTTTCTTATCATACTGATTTTAAGATCCATCCTAATTTCAGAGAAGTTAAAAGTGCACATATTAGCATGAATGAAATACAATAAACCCCTTTTGTACTGAAAAAAAAGCTCACAGGATCTTCACTATTTGACACGGTAGGGAGGGAAAGTCTGGTTAAAATTATGTGAATAAAGAAAATATTTAAAGTTATTCTATTATAAGAACCAGACTCAGAAAAAAAAAAAAAAGAACCAGACTCAGACATTTAGAGACAGAGATAAATAAGGAATTATCTCTAATTGTAAATATCCAATTTATTATTTGCTTCTTATTTCTATATGTGATAGTCATTTTTTAGACATTTGCAAAACCTTCCTTTGCAACCTACCCCAATGCAAAATACAATGATAAAGACAATTTGTCTTCATTGTGAAATTCATTATTATGTTTCTTCACTGTTCATTATGCATTTTTAATTACATCTTTAACATCCCAGGAATCAGTAATGAATGAAAAGTAATCTTTTATGGGCATCAGATGGACTTTGATGCTTCCTTTGGTATAGAACTTGGAGCAAAAGTGATTTGTATTCAATACAGAAATATTAACCATAGAGTCTAAAACATAAAATATTTCCTCTAAGCTTTTGTCTCTCCAGGCTGGGTGGAAATTCTGACTTAAATAAGCTTTTTAAAAAATATATCTGTGTTAACATCAGTTATTCTGCACAGAAGGAAAGACCCTTGGAGACAGGTATTCCTGATCCCAATTTTAAATTGCCACATTTAATTTTAGTATTTTTTCCCCTTTTCTTTGAAAAAACCTGTTCCCAGTACTGGCTTCCCCATCTCAGATCAATTGGAGACAGTTCCCCTGGTTAGCTCTTAACAAAAGTTTTCTTATTTACTTAATCTGATTGTTGCTTTTATTTAAATCAAGCACAGAGCTATCCAACCACCCATTTTTTAAATTATCTGACATGGATTTTTTTTTCCTAAGTCCTTAATGTCCATAACCGTAATAAAAAAATGATAAGCATGCTGTTCAATACTTTATAAACTATTCTTTTATAACTTCAGCTCAAAGAAAAAGATGGCAGTCTTGGAGTCTCCTCATTTTAAGGAGATTGTAAATAAAATATCAGTTTTTCGAAAGAAAGGAATATTCTCCACCATTCCTCACTAGTAGGTAGGAAAAGCACTGTACAGTCAGTTACTGCCAGTGTAATCATTTTGCATCCTGTTTTCTGGGAGTATTATGGGATGTCCTTCTTAGTGCCAGTTCCTGTTCCTCTTCTGTAGATATTATAGAAGTGCATTCACTTATTCTAGCCAGCAAGGGAGTCACATGTATACTAAAAATTGATTGACAGGGACTTCCCTGGCAGTCCGGTGGTTAAGAATCTATGTTTACCCTGCAGGGGGCACAGGTTCGATCTCTGGTCGGGGAACTAAGACACTGCATGCCATTCGGCGTGGTCAAAAATAAAGAAATAAATAAAATGGAGAGATAGCATCATCTTAGTTTTAAAAACCTGATTGACAGGTGCTATTTTAGAGCCTTAAGAATTGACAGAGAAGTAGTTTTCCTGCCTTATTCACTAAGTCTAAGAGCCAAGCTAGTAGAATATTTTCTAAGAAGCATAGTTTATGGAGTAATTTTACTACCCTCATCCATTTCCTCATCTTATACTTCTCTACATTGTAGGAAAGATTCTCCCTTACTTGTCTTCGTACAGAATTTATTCAGTTTTCTGTTAAAGTTATAATAATATCCTTCAGATCTGTGGCACTGATTGATCTAAATCGCATAGAGTAAAACTTCAATTATCTGTATGTGTCTGTTGGTGAGGAGGGAGACCATATACATACATCCAGAATGCTTGGAGTTCATAGCAACTATTGTAACTAATTTAATACAAAGACATTTGGCCATGATCAATACCATAGCCAAAGATGGAATTACAATAATGTTGTTCAAAACTAAAAATCCGTAAGTACCAAGGACAGGTGCAAAGGTAAATTGAAATTGGATATTGATGAAGTTGAAATGAGAGACTTCATTCAGGGACCTCAGATTCATACTGTTGCTTTTTTTATGATCTCATTAAAAGCTTCCTCTTTCCCCAGGGGGAGGCAGGTGCATGCTGGGTGATCCCATTGAGCTGTCAGCACTCTGTCAGGAGGTTCTGTTGATGGATATACGTCCAGTCACTTGAGAATTGTGTCTGAGTGAAATACACTCGCACAAGTCAATTATTAATGACAGTGCCTTTAACAACTCCCTGAAAAGATGGGGGTGTGATTTCTTCCATGGAGTTGACTTCAGCAAATTCACAGATGCTAAAATCTGGCATCTTAAAAATTTCCATTTCTGCTCTTAGACTCATCATGAAATAAGCACATCACTTTTTTATACTCTGTCCATAATCCCAGTGTCTTAGGTTTTGTTTCCTTTTTTCATTAAAATCATTCCTGTGTTTTGATCAGTACAGTGCATTGCTTGATTTCATTTGAGATTTGTATTTTTATTTTCATTCCTTTATATTTCTTTGGTTCAAAGTGTCAGAAGATGATGTTTTTTATGACAAACTGCCCTCGTTTGAAAGGCGCTGTGAAACGCCTGCAGGTATGGTGCTAGCTGAGTGATCTTTAGATATCTAGACTTTAAAAATCCAAGCCATTATGCCATCTGAATGCTAAACTTCATGGACATGCTACTCACCTCATGAGTGTCCAGTGCCTCTCAGATTCACCGTCTACTTACTGTTCATTGTGGAACTCATGCCACTGAAATGTTTTTTTTCAAGTGAACATATTATAAAGCAGTAGGTTGCATGACAGTTTCTCAGTGAAAAGATTCAAAAAAGGGGAGATGCTATTGCTTTGTGAACTAACAAAGGGAGGGATAATTTAACTGCTCAGAATTACATATCCAGTGATGGCTTTTTTATTTAAAACATAGTAGAACACCATTAGTAATCTTGTTTTTCCTATAGTACATAGGTAAAGGGTGTTTTGTGTCTGGTTGCCTAAGGTGATTCCAGGGAAGGGAATGGAAGATATATGGCATCTTCCATGAACTTTAAACTGATATGCAATACTATTGTCATTGAAAACCTCAGCTAAGTTTTATATAACCCGTAACTCCAAGCTTCTTTTTTAAAATATAGAAGGGGATGACATTGAAGATGAAATAAACACAGCAATTGCTGAGTGACAGTTTGCCCAAACTAGTGCAGTTAAAATATGCTGACGCCCCTGCATGGCCAGGAAGACTTCTGCTCCATGCCCAGCGGCACCAAGTACCAAGCTGCCAGCAACATGTGCCCATCCCTTTAGGCCTACATAGCTTTGCTTTTGCTTTCTATTTCCCAAACTAAAAAAAAAAAAAAAAAAGATTGCCAGCCTTCCCTTCTCCCTGCACGTTAATGGCATGCAGTGCCTCCGCCCTCCCCTTAGTGAGATTAATGAGCTGCTCCGTAACTCATACTGTGTCCTTCTCTCTCCCTCTCCTTAACCTTTCCCATCCCGCTTCAACTCCTGGCCATACAGAGAATGAACAGCCTTCCCTCGTTTGGTTTGACAGAGGAAAGTTTTATTTGACTTTTGAAGGTAAGTAGTACATAGCATACCAGATTCTAATTTTTCCTCCCCTCATGCTTTTCCCCATTTGCATTTTTTAAAAATCCCAGTTTTCTTCAAAAGACCTGGTCTCACTTTCTGTATAAAAATGCTATGGCTACTTAGAAAACATTAAACACTAAAGAAAACACTCCATGAATTTGGTTTGTATGAGATCTCCAATTTTTCGTATTAAAAAATTAAAGCTAATTTGCAGTTAATATTGGTTACTTAATTAACTGAAAAAAATTGAAAAAAAAGAACACCTTTTTTGGGCAAGGAACTTAACTCTGTCAACCAGGGCTCTTTCCTAACTCTTTTGCAAGTGCAATGCAACAAATATAAGGACATTTTTAGTTGGAATTCACATTTAATTTTGTTTTGGATAATTAATATTTCAGATACAACATCCATTATTGTAAAATGTAAATATATTCTTATGACAAGGAATGCTGCATGGGAGATCAGAAAAATGAAGAAAAGAAAAAGTATTTTCATAAGTTCTATTTACAGCTTCTGATATGGAAAAATTGTAACTAGAATGACTAGTAAAATGGACAACTACCACTGGACTTGCCATTTTAGAAGATGAAAGAAAATATACATAAGTGTAATGTCAGTTATCTAACCTCAAAGTTGGATAATTTGTTATTTCTGCATTAAGGATTAGCATTCTTCTGTCTTATATTTAAATTCTAAATCATTTTAACAGGCCAAGCATTTGATAAAATGACCCATTTAAACTAATGGTATAGGAAAAATTAAGTAAGTAAACTTAACAAATGGACTATCTTATACATATTTATCACTTAAGCCTCTACTTTCTACAATTTTAAATAGCTAAGTTTATCTTGGTATAAAAAGTTGGCAAACAAAATTTCCACTCAAGAATTGATTCTAAATATGATCTTTGTATTTCATGATAACAAAAAGAACTTCTCTAAGTTAAGTGTGTGTTTTAGCACAATTTAAAATATTAGAATGACTGGTGCAAATTCTCAAGTAGTTTGTGTGGTGTGACGTTTTTCTCTTAACAGTGACTTTTCTTTGCAAGATGGTCCCTTTAGCTTGGAGTGGCTTGGCTAGTAGCAGGAAACATTGTCTGATTCAAAGACTCCCCAGTACTGATGTCTCTCCTGGCTCAGGCAGAGAACAGGTGGATAGACAATCTTAGAGAAGGATGAATATTTTCCACATGATGTTGGAAGTCGTCATTGCCTCAGGTCATTAATTTTGTAATAACCAAGATGCAAAATCCACAAACTTATGACCTTCTAAACTTTCTCTTCAAATTAGATGAGTAAAAGTGCCCAAGTGTCTTTTTACTGATCAGCACATCTCACAGGAGACACTATGACTAAATAGGTTGATGATCTTGACATACAGCCAATACCTGCACATATAAAGGCTCTTTCTCTGGTTCAGCTTGACTACATTAAAGGTTGTAGTTTACCCTGTTTTAAACAGGAAATTAAGCCATATGCTACTGGCAACCTTCAAGTAATGTCTGGGGCTCCAAAAAAACTTTCATAGTTTTTTGTTGGTACAGTTTGTTTTGGCTTTAGAGTATCTATTGGCTGGTTTGCTTTTATTTTGATTAGGATTTCTTTAAACCAAAGAAATTCAAGAGATAGACTTTTTGCAAGATTCCAGTCTAAAGACAGCTTTTGATTATTGGCTTGTTTGTTTTTAAAATATATCATCAATCAAACATAAGTATTAATAAGCATGTGGAATAACAATGTGAATGACATTTTTTTTTCATTTTAGGGAAAGAAAACATTTATTAGTAGATATTGGGGTATCTAAAGTTGGTAGGTAACATTGCCATTCTAATTAGTAAAATCCAAATTCCTTAAACATCTCAATTTGAGACAAGAGAAGTCACACAAAGAAAGAGGTTGAACAGAAATTAATTGAAATCTGTAACTCTGTGTTAGCTTTATCTTGGACTTTGCTCAAGGTTTGGAAGTATAAACAAGGTTTTCCAAGGGGCTATAGGAGAGGGCATGTCATGAATATGTCCTACTCATCTATCAAGAAATGCTCATGCAAATTAAAATACGTTTCAATGAACTTTAAGGGAAGACTTAGGAGGACATCTTACCCCCTGAAACTAAAAATGACACAAGGGTGGCTATCTTTTTAAGAATGGGAAAAGGCTTGTTTTCGTTGTTTACATAAATTAGCCTCAGGTGGTTTCAGTTAATGCAACCTGGAATGATTTTTTTAAATTTTCTGTGGTGATGATAAAATGGCATAGAAACAATGACTTGTTAAATTGCCTTGAGAATAGTGCCCCTACTCAAATTTTAAACTACAAAAAGACACAGTCATTCAACATATTTTACTGAATAGCACTGCTAGTATATTCTTCTAGGGCACTCTGACTTTACCCATATTTGTTATTATTAATGTTAATTATCATTATCTTCAATTCTTTATTTGGGGAATGTATAAGAGGACCAAAGAGTCCCAGGTCAAAAATTCATTTGTTCTAAATAACTTTTAAGTTATTATTTGTTGGCATTTAAGTAGTGTTTTATCATGTTCAAAACCTTAGCCTGTCATATCCATCGCTTCTTCTTACAGGCCTCTGGGCAGTGTGGTTACCCAGTGAGTGAGTGAGCCACTTACCAATCAACCAACTAACTAATGAACTTATTTGGAAATAACATGAGATGCTTCACACTTCTAAATTTAACTTAACAAGAGAGATAGAAAAGTGTTAGACAATAGTCCTAACTCACAAGAGCTCCAAAGCTTGTCTTAATAGTTTAGTGTTAAACAGTTTCACTCAAAAAAAACTTGTCACTGAAATTTTAACCTATTTAAGTTGAGCTTAAAAAAAAAAAAAGTAAAGGTCACATAAGGTAGTACCTGTTAAAATTTATTCATCCAGGAGTATATCCTACTGAAGCTATCAAGTTTTCTTCTGAGATGAAAGGAAGGGAAAGATATTCCATAAAAAGTAGAAGATGCAACTATTAGCTAGTTGCATAATTCCCTAGAGCATTCAAACATCAAAATGTTTCCATAAATGTGCTGTCCCTCCCTCTCTTTGTTTAGCTTATTTAACATGAAAAAAAAAAAAAAAAACAACCTACAACCATAGATTCTTGTATCCTTGTTCTGAAGATCTTCTCTCTCCTCTGTGCATACAGCCACTTGCACTATCCTCTCTAGTCCACTCCTTTCTCCTATTCACTGGTCTCACTCCCAACACACCCTCGGGAATGTCACTTAACAACACCCTGTCTATACTCCCAGACTCTTTGCCAAACACTCCCACCTGTTGCCGTCACTGCATCCCCATCAGGGGCCATAACACCCCTGTAACACTCTCCACAGAAAGTTCATCAGTCTGCTGTGGGCTGTATGAGTTCTTCCAACTCTCCGTTAAAACTTCCAACCCCCTCTCCCCATTATGAAAAGTAGCCATCTGCTCATTCCACCTTTTACTTATCGCCGTTCACACTGCCCTACAGAGCGTTTCCCCTGCATTCGTCTATAGGCTTAGGGACACTGGCAGCTCCCTTTTCACCCTCTTCTCTACCTCACTCCCTAGCTTCTTTTTGTCACATAGATTCGATGTTGGATGATCCATCAACATTCTCTCTCAAGGGCTTCTTCAACTTCAGTTCCAATAAACTTTCCCTCCACTCAGTAACCCACACGTCTGGCCACATCTAAGAAATGGCCCCTACCGGAAAGTATCATTTCAGCTATTTCAAAACTAACAGTTTGTCCCCCTTGTTGTATTACAAGAACTATACTAGGCATGATTCTTTCATTCAATTAGCTCAGTGCTATCTTGTGCCAGCACTGTTCTAGGCACTCCCCTACAGGGAACGAAACAGAAAAAATTCCAAGTCACTGAAGAGCTTATGTTTTAATGTGGAAAATCAAAAACAAGAAGATAAGTAAAATATGTAGCATGGAGATGGTAATAAGTTCTACAGAAAAGAAATAAAATAGAGAAGAATGGAGCATATAAGGGTTGAAAATAATTAAAGAGGAGGAACTGAGGTAATAAAATAATAATAGTAACTAATACCTGAATCTTTACTATATGAAAAATACATTTCATCTAATATCTCATTTCATCTGCACAACTCATGGATGAAGAAATTCCGATTCAGATGACATATGTGACTTTTGAGAATCACTCAGCCAGGAAGAGGAAGAGTAGGGATTGAAATCCAGGCTGCCTGGCTGGAGACCTGGCCTGATGCTCTGCTCCATGTCCGTGATATCTCATTTACCCCCTTGAAATAGGTGATGCTGGTGGGTTTCTCTAACTCTCCTAACCCTCCAGTTTCCCAGTCCCCTGACTACACATTATCTTTGACCTTGTTGAAGCTTCTAGTCTTATGGCCACCCCACTCGCATTCAATCCACCAGCCAAACCTACATTCAAGTTTATCCAGATTAGACCCCATGGAGGAAAAGTATGTTTCTATACTATGGAAGATACACTTTCCACTTTGAAATTGTGTTGTCTGTATGAAAAACTCAACTCTTGGACATTTTAACTTCTGGCCTCCCTCAGTGGGTTATTAAATATCCCTACTTAATAGTTCGTAATACACATCTTAGTCATGGGCCACTCAACTTTCTTCCCCCTAACATAGTAATCCTATAAGAAACAGGTCAGATTTTTCACAGATGACCAAACAGATATTAATTCATTCATCCAAGAGTCATTAGAGAAAGGAAACTTGCAAGGCATAAGCAATTTTATGAGAAGGAGCCATTTTGCTAAATTCACAATATTCTTCAAGTAGGAATTGTTCACTAATTGCCCCCACCCCACTGTTGCTGTGCTGGGCTCATTCGTGTCCAACTCTTTGCAACCCCATGGACTGTAGCCCTCCAGGCTCCTCTGTCCATGGGATTCTCCAGGCAAGAATACTGGAGTGGGTTGCTATGCCCTCCTCCAGGGGATCTTCCCAACCCAGGGATCGAACTCAGGTCTCCCACACTGCAGG